AATCTTTACAGAAGCAGACTGCCCCATCTTTCTCCCTCAGAGTGGCTGGTGGGTCCGAACCATCTACCTTTAGGTTAGCAGCGGAATGCCCACCAGGGCTCCTTCTTGGCACAGTTGTTCTAGGGTAAAAACATCATAAAGTTTAGTAAAGCAAAAAGAAAGGTTTTATTTAGCATATGTTCAAAGAGGCAAAAGTGGAAAAGGACAAGCATTCTGCCAGAGCCATGTCTGCCCGAATCCAACAAATATTATAGAGGAAGCAAAAGCAGGAAAACGGACAAGCATGCTGCTAGAGCCACGTCTGCCTGAGTTCAAGGAATATACAGAGATTCATCAGTATATATTAACATTACAAACGGGCAAAACCACTGAAAGCTTCACCTTTTCACAGATGGGCTAAAAGCTGCTAAATCAACGTGATTCTACTTTTTGAATCGTCTTTCTTGATAATTATTGGTACAGGTTTCAGTAATGACAGTCAGGAGGGTCTTCATTGGTCCAACATATCTTCTATTCACTAAATGCTAATAGAAAAAGTGTGTAAAGTCTTTTGTGCACTGTTTGATTAGTTTATGTGAAAGGTTCCCTAAAAGATGTTTTCCAAGATTTTCCTAGCTATTGTCTTTATACCTCAAGGCCCAGTTGATGTGTCCTTGTGAGTCCAGCTCCAGGCGGGTCACATTCTAGGATGGGGGATAATGGCTCCAATATTATCTCCTAAATCACAGTAACACAAAACAACAACAACAACAAAACCCATTGCCCTCGAGTCTATTCCGACTCACAGCGACCCTATAGGACAGAGTAGAACTGCCCCATAGAGTTTCCAAGGAGCGCCTGGTGGATTTGAACTTCGGACCTTTTGGTTAGCAGCCGTAAGTAGCACTTAACCACTATGCCACCAGGGTTTCCAAAAATCACGGTAGGGGCTAGTAAATATTTGTTGAATAAAGTCAGCTGTAGTGCAAAAGGAAGGCTAGGCAGGAGTTGAAAAAGTGTTCTAGGTAGAACATAAAATGCAAACGGTTTCTGGCTGGGAGAGTAGACAGCAAGGATTGGAAGACGTGGAATATTGAGAAAGAAGGCTGGAGAGTAACATACAGGAATTGGGACTTTCTGTTTAGAAACCAATGCGGAGCCACCGAAGGTTTGTTAAGTAGATGTGTGACTTGGCCACACTGTCGCTGCCTGGACACTGAAATTGGTGAGGGTAAGAGTAGATGAAGGGAGTCCACCTACGAGACAAGAATAACGAGTTCGCGCCAGAAATGACCGAAGCACGGCGGAGAGAAGTGGCTTTCTGAATAGAGAGATTTAAGAGCATGAATGGGGGGAGGAGTCAAGAATGCAGCCTTGGTTTTTAGCTTACGTGATTGAGTGACAATAGATGTCATTCACGAGGATAGGCCGGTTTGGAGGCGGGGCAAAACTGAAAGGAACGCCCCCCCACCCCCTGCCCCGCCCATGGTGGTAGGACGGCGACAATTGGCTGTTTTGAGAAACGCGCCAAAAACTGCCTGGGGTGGGCGGGAGGTGTATTGTGCGTCATTTCCGGAAGACTTCCGGGCCGTGGTGTCCCGGCCTCCCCAGGTCCGGAATTTCCGGGCGGCGTCGCCATTTTGACTTCCCGACCTTGGCCTGGGGCTGATAGCTCTCTACATCCCGCACCGTGCCGACATGTCTGCACTGAAGCCGCTGCTGCTAAGGGGCCTGACAGCCCCAGCTCGGCGGGTCCTCGTGCCGCGCGCCCAGATCAACTCTAAGCCCCCGCGGGAGCAGCTCGGGACCATGGTGAGGAGCGGTTGGGGAGGGTGCGGGAGGCGCCGCGCCGGGTTCGGCTGGGGGTTCTCCACTCTGGGTCTCGGCGGCCCTGGGAGTGCCCTGCACCTTGTGACACGCAGTGTAGCAACGAGGGCAGCAATGCCGGTTTGGGCGTGTTTGGAGGGCGCGAACGAGGGCACGGTGCCCGGGGGACGGTCGGCGCTGTCATCGTTATGTCTTTCCCCTCAGTCCCAGCGCTGGCCCTTACTCGCTTTGCAGCATCGAGCAAGCTTCCTTAGCCTGCTCTGAGCCTGTATACCCTTCGGTTCGTGGGTGATGCCTGAGTGACTGTAGCGATGATGGTGGTTGTTACCGCTATTTATTATTACTGATTATCAGGGAGGAGGCCCTGGGCGGGCCAAACGGTTAAGTGCTCGACTACTAGCCGAAAGGTTGGTGGTCCGAACCCACCCAGAAGCGCCTCGGAAGAAAGGTCTGGCGATCTGCTTCCAAAAGGTCACAGCCGTGAAAACCCTGTGGAGCAGTTCCACTCTGGACACGTGGGGTCGCCATGAGTCAGAATCTTACTGGAAGGCAACTAACAACAGCAAGTTATCAGGGGTTTCAGGGGTTCAGGCAGACACGAGGACCCCAACAGGTGTTTGGAATTCCAGGAAATGTAGAGGAGCGCTTAGCCAGTAATGACAACTTTCACCTGTTTGGAGTTTTTATACGTTTGCGTCAGTGGCAGTACTTGCCCTTGAATGCACGTTTTGAGTCCAAGTTAGTGGGTGGTGAGGAAGGAGCAGAGCCAGGAGAGCACTGCCATTGAGAAAACAATCCTCGTTGCTGTCTAGTGGATTCTGACTCATAGCGACCCTATAGGACAGAGTGGAACTGCCCCATAGAGTTTGTGAGGAGCTGGTGGGTTCGAACTGCCGACCTTTTGGGTAGCAGCCAGGCTCTTAACCACCGAACCACCAGGGCTCCGAGGAGACAATAGTGGTGATAACTGCAGCTAGCATTCGCTGACTGCCTCCTGTTGCCAGGCACTGTGCTAAGGCTGCTGTGCTCCTCTCATTCCGTCCTCCGAGTGGTTGAGGGGACTGAGACTTAGCTGTGGATTGACTTGTCCAAGATCACACCTTCAGTAGTAAAGAGGGAATTTGAATTTAAGCCTGACTCCAGGTTGTCACTTACCATAGGGAATGTGGTAGTGGCTGTAAAAAGTCTTATCCCTGATCCCAAAGATTGAATAACAGTCCTGGAGAGGAGGTGTGAAGGGAGAGGTTTTTAAGGCAAAGAAGGGCAGGTGCATTTTTAATTCTTGGCCTTTGTCAGTATGTAAGATGAGCTTTACAACTGGTTTAAATCCTCTTCTGTCCCTTCATTTTATCAACTGGGGGTAGATTTCTCCATGGATCCCAACCCAGGCTGATGTCCTACCTGCTCCCTCCTTCTCCTTATCCCCTTCCAATATCTGACCCTTGACCTAAAGGCCTAGAATGGGCCTCGACCTGCCATGTCATTCCTGGACTGTAGTTTCCTATAGTGTGGGGGTTAGGGGGAGGCAGAGCTCCCATCTGCCCCTGATTCTTGGCCCTCTGTGAAGGCTGCTGGGACTCCTGAGAGCCCACAGGGCGTCCTTACTCTGGGGTTCCTTTCTTGTGCTCTGTGCAGGATTACATCATTGGGCTCACCTCCTGCTTCGTGTGCTTCCTCGGGCCAGCGGGCTGGGTCATGGCACACATGGAGAACTACAAGAAGCGGGAGTGAAGGGGGCAGCCCTCTCTCTCTGTCTGCGTCCTGACCACCCCCGGCCCATCTGATCATGTCTCCTGCATTCCTGGCCGGCCCTCCCTGGATCATGTCCTTCAGTTACAGTGACCTCTTCTGCAATCATGACCTCTCCATGGTGACATCCTGGGACCACGTATATTGGCTTATAAGGCTCTGCTTGGTGGGGCCCCGACTTGTAACAATAAAGTCTATTTAAACCTTACTTTAGAAATTCATTTTGCTTTTTGCCTGGGCTCCTGCCTCCAGACTTGAGCTGAGGATGGTGTTGGGTGGGGTGTGGAGAAGGGCGCCTGACTGGCTGCCCCGGACTTGGTCTTGTGCCTCAGCTGTTCTCCTTGCTGCCTGGAAGTGGTGCTTCCTTTGTCTGCGAACCCGCATCTAAGTGTTTTCTGGCTTTTTGAGTAAACAAATGCTGTGGTCACTGAGTGATCTTTGTTAGCATCCTCTCTAGCTCCCTTGATTGTGCCAAGATCAAATGACTGTGTGTTCCTGCCATGTTCTTCCCCCTCGGTGAGCTCCAGCCATTTCTCAGCTGCTTTTGCCCTTCCTGGTTGGGGACTGGGACCCTCTACAGTATCTTGCTTTTTTAATGACAACTCCAGGGCCCCTTTCCTTTCAGTGCTGTCCCCATAAATGCTGTGGGTTGACTGGGCTCCTTCGTGCTCCCTGCCTGTGTCCCTGTCCTCTCTCCCTTTGGCTTGGAAAATTTGCTGCTCCTCCATCCCCAGCACCCTTTCTCAGTGATTGTTCCTGGCTGGTATCTGGGGGCCGGGGGTGCCTCCTTAGCTGGAAGAAGTAGTCCACGCCAGGCTGGAACCTGGCTGCCAGTGTCTGGAAGGAACGCTAGACCTGCCAGGCCTCCTCCCAGCAGAGGACATGGCTCCAGCTTTCCTTTGGGTCCTCTTTGCGAGGATAGCGTGGCTGATTTCCGAACC